CTTGGAGGGCACCGCGGTACATGCAGTTATTTGTACATAGTCCCGTCATTTCAGGCCTATAAACAAAAAGAGGAAGAATTTTTAGTTCAGTTCTCGGATAGACATATCAGATTCTCATCAGGCATTACACATGTTAACGGATTCATTAGAGAGGGCTGATGGTAGCATAAGGTACAAATATTAATGGGTATGCCTAACTCTTAAAGGAACAGTTTACCCACATCAGGTAATCGCCCTCATGTTATTTCAAACATGGCCGTTTCTGATCATTTAAAGGGACAGTTCACCCAAAAATTGTAATTTGCAGTAGAACAGTAAAGAAGATTTTTAGCTGAAACTGTGCTCCTTCGTGATTCATAAAATGCAAGTCAGCGGCTGCCTGTTATTGAGAATAAAAAAGCATGTCAAGGAACACAAAATTAATACCCGTGACTCCTGATGATATATTGATGTCTTATGAAATTAAATGATTGGTGTGTGCAAGAAACTGAACATTATTTACAACATTATTACCTGTAATCCAGAGCCTCAGTCAAACGGGGAATCTGATTCTTTTCAGTGAACTGATTCTTTTAGACAGTTCGTTTCTGTGAACCGATTCAGTTCACTAGTTCGTTTATGCAATCACGCAATGGTGTCACACATACCCAATTATATAATTAAAGGACCCAATAATGATGTGAAACTATGTATTAAATGGAAATAAATAAATAAATAATAGAATATTAATAAAAAAGTAATACATCAGTATTAGGCTATTTCTTTAAAAGGCTACAACAGTAATATTTTCAATTATTTCAAATATTTTCATTATTTTCAGTAATGCAAGAGTAGCATATTAAAGAAACTGAACATTATTTACAACATTATTACCTGTAATCCAGAGCTTTAGTCAAACGGGGAATCTGATTCTTTTCAGTGAACTGATTCTTTTAGACAGTTCGTTTCTGTGAACCGATTCAGTTCACTAGTTCATTTATGCAATCACGCAATGGTGTCACACATACCCAATTATATAATTAAAGGACCCAATAATGATGTGAAACTATGTATTAAATGGAAATAAATAAATAAATAATAGAATATTAATAAAAAAGTAATACATCAGTATTAGGCTATTTCTTTAAAAGGCTACAACAGTAATATTTTCAATTATTTCAAATATTTTCATTATTTTCAGTAATGCAAGAGTAGCATATTATTTTTTCAATAATCTTGAATGTGCTTTATTAACGCTTATATTATTTAGTAATGTTACTTGACATTCTTTTTATCAATAAAACTAAAACCATAAAAAAATATATATATATATATATATGAAGTGAACTGCTAAATATAAAACAGAACACTATATTCGGCTACGGATTTCTATGCATAAAACATTTAAAAACTGAACATGAAATTAAAATCAACTCCAGTCCTGTGGACGTTTAGTGCTTCAAATGATAGTGAGATTTAAAAATGTGCTACTTCTAGTTCAGTCACAGTGTTTTTAGCGAATCCTGCAAATGTGCATTCAGAATGAGAAATTGTGACACGTAATGAAGCGACTGCTCATTGAGAACATGAAGAACGGCCTGTGAGAGGAGACATGAGTCACAGGCAGATGGGAGATCTCTGTGTGTGTGTGTGTGTGTGTGTGGGCAGAGCGATCAGACGGACATGCTAATTAGTTCATGACACACTTCACCCGTCTGTGCATGTAATTATTAACATGTGAAGCCCAGAGCCAACGGACTGACTGATAACACACACATTCCAGCACAAAACAGACTATCAGCTGGATGTTTGTACAATTACACTAAAAAACACTAAAAGAGCTTTTACTGGATAAAACTGATGACTGAAGGCATGGAGGAGATTGTGTGTGAAACATTTAACAGCAAAGTTTGATCGTTTAGAGGCCTTAGAATTTCATGCATCAAATATGATACAGTTATAAGCAGAGATCATGTGGTTAAAGTTTCTGAACATAGCCGTTCTCTTCTGAACTTTCTCGTTCTCGCTCACACATGCACCAGACTAGATGGAGTGAGCTGCCGAGTGTTTTATCTAACAGCGGGCAGGAGAACCCATCATGAGTCAGTGAAGATCTCAGTGTGAGTGTGAGTGTGTGAGGACATTCAATCACACATCAGTGTGTCAGAGTTCACACACACACCACCAAACACTTCATTACACAGGAGAACTAGCTATTGCTCTTATATGCTAATATATCTGATATGATACATGCTTCTTCAAAGCTCAGGAGACCTAATGGAGACCTCAGATGAAAGGTATTAAATGGTTAGTTCAGCCCAGTGGCATTTTAGTATCATCAAGATATGTCACAATGCAAAAAAATATTAATGTTCCTAAAACATGCTTAATTGAATTTAAAATCATATTTAACCTCATATATCAAGATCACATCCATACATGTCTTCATGAGATAAAATAAAACTATTAAAGTACCATTGAGATACTATTATAGTTTTTTATTTTTTATCTTTACATATTTGTATTAATTTAAAAAACAATTTTTTAAAGTTTTACTGTTTCAGTAATTTTGTTGTTTGTTTTTATAATTTTTACAAGTTTTTTCTATATGTCTATATAGTTTTTATTAATTTCTATTTCAGTTTTATTTATGGAATTTTTTTTATTTTATTTATATTTTTTATTATTTTATTTCAGCTAAATTTTGTATATATATATATATATAAACTTATTTTGGTACATCAGGTTAAACTAAATGAAAATAAGAAATGTTGCCTTGGCAACTAGCTGAATTAAAAAAAGGTTTCTTTAGATATTTTATTTCAGTTTAAGAAAAGTTTGTAACAATTGTTTTTATGGTTTTAGTTTTAGTTTGAGTTAACTATAATAACCCTGTCTCTGACAAAAATAAACACCCTGCCATCCAGAATCCATTCCGCTATTTTAAGACCCTCATTGAAATCTTAACAGCTTTAAAATTAGAGGCGGAAAGTATCCCTCCACATGCTCTATACTTGCATAACAAAATCATTTTCACTCACATCAGTATTTCATATTTATTTATTGGGTCAGTATGTGTGTAAAAGCGAGATACAGTCAGTGGTGGTCCGGGTTTATTTGGTGATATTGACTGTTCGTAATATTGAACTGTAAGTGTTATTTAGGACACAGACTCAACCAAATCATCTGAATAATAGCGTGTGGGCCGATCGCTGATGGACGGACTGACTCACTGTCATTCTCTGTCCTCTCCTCATCATTTTCTGAGTGAAAACACAGCACGGACGGCTCAAACACAAGTACTGAACTTATTTCCTCTCTCCAGCTCAATCAAACCACTGAACATCACTTCACTTGAAGTCTTGCCACTAATAGCAGATCCTACTGTAGCACACCAGTGTGTTTTCTGTCAATGCGATGTGTTTTTATGTTTATTCATCACCTCCACCAACACAAAACTCCTACAATCCAAAGTGTGTCTCTCAAAAAAGAAAAAAAATTGTTTATGTGAATTTGGTTACTCAAATAAATGTAAATGACATATAGCCTTTAATTATTTATACTGATACCTTAGACTTAACCTCATGCAATAAACATTACATATGAGTATAAACTAAGTGTTTGCATATGTAATACAGTACAACAATTGGTGGGCAAAATAAGGAAATTTCAAAGTGAAAAAAAATCCTAATGGTCCTAAAAACAAGCGTAAATGAATGTAATATATTTCATTACATATGACAATCTGTGGGCAAAATTTGAAATATGTAAACAAGCAAAAAGTGTTCATGGTCCTAAAACGGTTAATCTAATTTAAAATCATATTTCACTTCATAATAAGCTGTAAAAAAAAATCATATATATATATATATATACACACTCACTCACACACACACACTCTCACTCACACTCTCACTCACTCACACCTGATGTTTTCATGAGAGTTTTCATTTTATACACTGATTTTATTGCGAGGTTGAGTGCTAAATTGCATTAAAGCAAACATGTCCTTAGTCTTGCCTTACGTAATGAAAAGAACACAGTGTACACTAAAATATAAATAAGTGTCAAATAAATGAGAATGATAAATATTAATGCCGAGTTAATTTGAACTGTTAAGAGTGAGCTCATCCTACGAACACATGGTTGTACTGTCCGGTGTTTTCGGAGCGGCTCTCGCCGGCCTTCTCCACAAGCTCTGGGAAATGCGGCTGGACGCAGGAGTTGACGGCCTCGGACAGCTCACTGGGCAGAGACCACATCTTCTTGGCGTGTTCGGCCACGGTGTCTTTATTCAGCTGCACACAGAAGTGAAGGATTGAGAGCAGCGGTCGGTCACAGCAGTGAACATCAACATGATCTCCAGATCAACCTCACAACAGTCTAATGTTCATTGTTTGATCAAATAATCAATAATTCTTAATCATTTATATTGTGTCCTGAAATCAATTTAAATATGCACTATGAAATTGCAATGCATTAGTTATTGTTTTAGTCATTTTGCTGTTTTGTTTTTGTCATTTTTGTTAGCTTTTTAAAATATTTTTAATATATAGTTATTTATTTAATATACATTTTTTAAATTGGATAATGTTTATTAATTTTATTTCTTTTTTTATTAACTTAAACTGATTAAAAATGAGCAAAAACATGTTGCCTTGGCAATTACCTGAAATAAAATTATTAAAAGCTTAAATAAAATATTAATATTATAAATATCCCTAAAATATTATTTGGGAAATATTTTGTTTATATCTAGTTATATTATACATTTAGTGCTGTCAAACTATTAATCGCGAATTTTTTGTTTACATAATATATGTGTGTGTATTGTGTATATTTATTATGCATATATATATATATATATATATACATACATCATATATTTTGAAAATATTTGCATGTATTTACATGTATATATTTATATTCATATAATT